AAAGAAACAACTTTGCTTCAGACCATTTTGCCCCATCTCCTTATGGCAGGGCAGTATAGCCCCCGGTATCACTCAAACAAGGTCAAAATAATAAATACTGAATATTTTCTTGTTCTTAATATCGTACAAGTGGCACCGCATATTAAATAACAGTCTATATATCACTCCCAAATATCAGTATAACACATTTGTATACCACTATAACAGTTTGTATAACACATTTTCAAATGTCACTTTTACGTACAGTTTTAATATAAAAATGGGAGGGCGGTTAGAAAGGAAGCACAAGATCGAACGAGCGCGCGCGCGAGTGAAGGTCTTGTGCTTCCTTTCTAACCGCCCTCCCATTTTTTCCGAAATGAAACCCCATATACATTTAATCAACCCATTATATTTAATAGAATGAAATAAAAATGGGATGGGGTTAAAAGGGAGTGCAAGACCGAACGAGCGCGCGCGCTTTTAACCCCATCCCATTTTTTCCGCGTGGTAATTGAGTGGTTTGGTTTTTTACTTCGTGCCTACCTAGTTTATTTTGTTATTTATAAATCGTATATATATGTATTGTGGTAAAGTGAGGTTAGGTATAAAATCCATACAGGTGTCATACCAAGCTTTATACGGGATATTTTATGGTATATGGTGCAACTAGTATGACATTTAGAACAAGAAAATACTCAGTATTTATTAATTTGACCTTGTTTCAGTGAAACCGGGGGCTATACTGCCCTGCCATAAGGAGATGGGGTAAAATGGTCTGAAGCAAAGTTGTCTTCCTTGAGTCACTCTACAATTTTCCTGAACACACCCCAACGATAAAACCACCCAATGACCCAGAAAACGGAGATAAACTTACTTTTTTGACCCAAAAATTTGATTTTCTTCGTGTAACGGTTTTTCGAACATAACGTAGACAAATGTGAAAGTAATGTATACCGTTGGATAAGTTTTCACGAGTACTACAATTTTGACCCAAGGAGCAATGCCCTCCCTGCCATGGCTGGAGAGATATGACCTTTGGTGTAAATACCCTGATTTTCATGGTCGCCCTTCAAACACCCATTTTTTGGATACACAGGGGGGGTGCGGAAAAAAATTAGCATATATTTGGAACATACTCGACCCCAGCTACACCATAGAAAAAAAATAAATCAATTTCGGCTACTGTCAATAAAGTGTAGGTGTGCCGAAAAAACAAACAAAAAATGCAAAAATCGAGAAAAAATTATTTTGAAAAAAAGAAGAAGAAAAATTGTGCAAAATGAATTGAAAAATCAATTAATTATTGAACAAAAAAAATCGCTGCAACTATTTTTTTTTCCATTGAAACGAACAAAATAACCGAATGCATAAGCTGTTAGAAGAATGCATTGCAAATGGTTTGAGTGAATCGACGTTGGTTCGTCATTAATTGAAGTTGTTAATTAGTGTAATGACATTTGCTGAAATGTCCGTCAAGCAAGCAAGCGATAGCAGCATATTCCGTGCTCACCGTGAGGTAAACGCTTGTTTTCCGTTTGAATCAACAGAGTGAAGAGACTTTTCGAATGAGAACAGTGGCCAAAAATGAACGAACGATGTGTCTTGATTCCATACATATTCCGGTAAACTTGAATGAATATTGTGCGAAATCCATTCGGAAATCCATCACGAAATGTTTCTTTTTTGCATGCACAGAGAGGAGAGAGAGAGAGTACGTGTGTGTGTGTGTGTGTTTCGCATCTTGTTTGTATGTCGTGTGTACGTGAATATATTGGATGATATGTAGTGTTATGTCCACGGGATGGTTTTTGGCACATGAATAGTGTGAATGTAAATTCCAGAGAATAGCATCTTGGATATGATACAAATCGGGGGTGCATATGTGGATGGGCATTAGTGGAAAGTGAGAAGAACTCTCGGGTTCGGATTTTTGGATATAGATATGGGAAAAACAACCACACGCCGAACAAACGAACGAATGAACGACCGGACGAGAACGCATAAACAAAAGCGTGATGAAACTGCATGTAATAAGACAATCTCTGATGCAGATTCTGAGTGCAGCGTTACGCGAGCCAGCCAATTATTTGTTCATCAACCTGTTATAGTGAAAGCGAGCGATTGCATCGAACTGTGTGCTGTTCGGTGTTGTTTTTTTCCCTTTCTTTCTGCATTCTGTCTCTCTCTCCCCCTCTCTGTGTTTTTGTATCCATGGTTGTCATCATCCACACAATTCTCGGCGAGTGAGTTAGAGTGGCGCTACATGAGTGAGGGCGCAAACGCATGCCATCGATATACAAAGACACCGAAGAGGCTCATGTAAAATAATTTTTTTTTCTGTTGCCCGTAATGATACTTTGTGCAGCAACATGCATTGCACATTTCAGCAAATGCATCGGGTCCGGTAATTTATTTTCGATTGCAACTATACATAACATACAAAAAGAGTTTGGTGTTCGCTCGTTCATTCGTTTATTCGCTCTCTTTTTCTTTCTCTCTCTCTCTTCGTTCTCCCTCTCTCGTTCGAATCGGCGGTATGGCCACTGTTGATGCCGCTACTGTCGCCGCCGTTACCACCGTCCAATATTACGCGGCAAATACATATACCCATCTGGTGGTGGGCTCATGTAACGCGTACATACGTGCATACATTAATTAAATTAAAACACTTTTGGCTGGCAAAATTTGCTAAATATCAAAGAGCATTTTCATGACTGTATGCATTTTCGCCTAAAACCAAAATGCAGTTGATTCGTCCATTTTTTTTTTGCAACAGATCAATAATGTTGTCATTGCGCATTGAAAAGTCGCCACCATCTCGAATTTTGCAAAAACATGACAACAACAATTCGGGGCTCTTTTTTCTCGTTCCGGCTCGATGCTGTTGCTATTTATAACTGTTTGGCGTTTTTATAGCGATATCTCCCAATGGGACAGAAATAAAATATTCAATCCCAATGGCCCATTACGGATTTGCGTACAAAGCATTCGAGATGATTTCATTCATAACGATTCCAAAGGATTACAATAATTATCGAAAATTTATCTTCAGAATGTAGGTGATTCGAAATACATCGGTCAGTTTATGCATTGAATTCGTTTTTTTTCCTCGAAGAAGTCCTTTGCTCGATCCTTGTTTAAATCACTAAAGCTGTATAGTTGGCAAAGCATCGAAACTAGAATAGTATGGAAAATCATTCGAAATCGATTTGGAATATCTTCATTTTCTTTGCCTGAATGAATTTCAGGTGTCTACAGTAATTCCACCCATGCATTACGAGTCGAATTGATGATTTCAGCAAAGATTTCGATCAATTTGCCGATTTATCGAACAAATTATCAAATTTGTTTGAATAAAATTCGGTTTTTCCATAAATTGTAATGAGAATAGGTGGCTGAGGTCAAAAAATGGAACGCAATTGAAGTTATGCGTACGCAATAATGCGTGAGTGGACAGTGGACACACAGAAATACCTCAGTAGTTAGGAATCATATAGACGTCAGTTGGAATGCATGCATATGGTTATATAATTCATCTAAATGCATTGCGTGGGCTTTTTTTGCCTGAAAGTTGGTAGATTCTCTCAGGCTTTTGAAGAAGTAACTCTCAAAAGAGTGATAAGCAGAGCAAAACAAAAAGACTCGTTACCAATTCAAAAGGGTTCTATAGAAGAAATATTTATTTTTTTGTGAATACGCACAATATGCGTCGCAAATGAATGGAAACGGGCCGCTTCAAACGGACGAACGCCATGGTAAAAAGTATTATAATTCAAGTTGAGCTAGTGAGTTTTTGATTCGGCGTTTTTGGGGTAGACGCACTCAAACACAAAATGCATTCATACAGAGTGCATCTGGATGCACTGTACCTGTTCTCGTTCTGCGCTCCCCGCTGTCGCTGGTTCGTTCACTCACTCGTGGTACATACACACATATCGAACGGGTGAAATATGGTGCGATGCAAAATGCACCGTGTTTTCCCGTTTCGATACAGAGAGCATTATTTTCTAGGGGTACATTATAAAATTTAAATTGATATTTACTCCACATACAGCAAAAACATGCATCGAAACGACGAGAAGCCGTTGTGTGCAGTGTCAGATATCGGCCAATTGGAGTGAATGAGCCGGCAAGCGATTCGATGAGCGAATGAGAAAATATGAATCAAAGTAGCTTGTGTGAGTGCATTGAGCTCCTGGCACTTGCTCTTGTTCGTTCGCTCTCTATCTCACTTTCTCATCGATTTGTGTGTGTGTGGTGTGTATCTGCCTGTGAGTGTGGAGAAATGCACTCATTTATCGAATGCATATTGTTTTCGGCTGCATAAAATGCGACTGCCTAAACAATGATATCCACACATACACCACACGATAGATACATACCGTACGTCTATATGCAATATAATTTCGGAAATAAAGGCTGCCAGAATGAATCCGATACGATTGACAATGATGCGAGCTGGAGCGAAATGAAGCAAGCAATATATTGCGAAAATATGCTAATGTAAATCGGGAACTCTCTCTCTCTCTCTCTCTCTCTCTGTCTGTCTCCTTCCCCCTCACTTGGATATGTGTGTGCAAATATTTATATTATGTCGTTTTATTTTTCGGTATGTGCTTCACCGTTGTGTCGACTCGGTGAGAGCCGATGCTGCCGTTGATGCCATTGTCGTTGCTGTTGATGCTGCTGCTGCGGTGCAATTTCGCATAAAATACATGGCATGAGAGAGCGAGAGCATTGAGGGGGCGAAAAGGGATTGGGGAGCCAGACTACACAGTATAAGCACCTCACGCACACACACAAACATTCAAACATTCGCACACATAAACATCGGCGCCAAATACACAGCTCAACATCACAGCATCATCCATAGGTCCGTGTGTATACAGTTTGTGAGAGATATACCCCGGTTTTGTTGCTCTTTCGAGTTTGTGTCGAGGTTTTCGCTGTCTCTCTCTTCGCATGGCTTTGCTGCTTTTTCGGAAAAATTGGTTCTACGGGGGGTGTACCAAATTGCGTGGCGAAGTGCAGTTTGCATCGTGCTTGATGCAGGTTCGATGAGCCTAGGTCATTTTCGAATTTACATACCGCACACACAAAACGCGAGAAATCAAACCAATTCATCACAGTCACAATACAACAAAAAAAAAACATACACAAAACCGACACAATTTTTTCGCATTTTCCAAATTTTTCGCCCGAAAGAATAACCAATAATCATAATCACCAACTCTTTCGAAACACGACCGAAGAACTTTTGCCGCTTTTTCAATTGTTTATTCCTGTGCAAAAAAAAAATCATAAAAAATACCAAAACATTTGAATTTATAAAAACTCGAGAAAAAAAAACGAACATTTTGATAAATTCCAGAGAATTCAAATTCAAATTCAAAAAAACAAAGTTATCTAAAACCCACAAATTAAAATCGCAAAAAGCGAAAATAAAATAAATTCAAAACCCAAACACTATTCGAACGCACACGAAAGAGACAGAAACAAAAAGAAAGAATACAGTGTGAAACGGATATCTAAGCTGAGTTTGGCATCACAAAAACGCATAAACAGTTGAGTAAAAAACTTGGTTATTTGTTTTTCGTTCAATTTTTCTGTTGTTGTTATTGTTATTGTTCCGTTTGCCCTTTTTTTGCGTAAAAAGTTTGTGAGTGCAACTTGCGAGTTGCAAAAAACGACGAACACGAGCTGAAGTGAACATGCGAGCGACAAAGGGGAAGCGAGGATAAAAAATGAGAAGCGAAGAGAAAAAAAAGAAGAAAATAACAAACACAGATAGGATTGCATATTTTCACGACGTATATCTCATCTTCTTTGTTCTTTTTCAATGGGAAAGTACGGCGTTACGTTTATAACTGTGTTTTAAGTGGTGATACCGAGAAAGAGGTGAGCGCAGCATCCCCACAGCGCCGAACGAGATAAGGATTGAAAATTCAGTCAACGATTCCTCGCCATATTGTTAACAGAGGCGAAAAACGGGCAAGAAAACTGAGTATAAGGCAAAGGAAAAATGAATCGGGCGGCCATGTGTCTCTCTGTTCAAGGGCAAGTCAACGATTTTTCCTTCAAGTTTAATTGGCTTTTTCCAATGGATCAATTTGGTAACAAATAATTTTTGATGGCTTCTTTTCCTTCCGTTGATGTTGTTGCTGTTTTGCATTAATCCAAGCGCTTTTAATCGGATATCAAACACCCACCCCACCTCCGCGCACCAACTCCCGTTAGAATAAACCCAATTGATTGCATTTCAATTTTTTAATTTGAGTTTGCAGCGCAGTTGGGTAAATCGATTGAAATCGCTTACAATTTTTGGAAAATGTCATTGACGATTGGCTGAGAAGATTTTTTTCCATTTTGAAAAAAAAGCGAACGATCGACCATTTTGCGTTTTAATTTGTTGTTGTTTGTTCATTTGGCCTGTGTAAGTGAGATGAACGCCAAGAACGCCTGGCGTTGATATTGAATTATCGCAAGCGAAACAGAGATAGACGGAGAGAGAGAGAGAGAGAGAGAGAGAGAGAGAGAGAGAGAGAGAGACCGAAACAGAGACAGGAAAAATAGGAAAGAAAGAGATGAACGAAAAAATGCCTGCACATCGCGCATATATTGCACGAAATTGCATCTTGTACGCATATACGAAAATTTCGTGCAATTTGAAAAGGCAATGTGTGTAATGGTGTGCGTCGCTATCGGTTTTTGTGCAGGCAACAGCAGTAGCACACACACCGTACGCGCTCTCTTTCTCTCTCTCTTTCTCTCTCTCTCAAATCATATCCATCCATCCACTTGCTCACACATGCACACGCATACATTGGCCATATTAATAACACAACTACGCATATACCGAATTGAAATGCAATTTCGCCACACATAACAACGACTACGACGACGATGGTGACGACGACGAAAATGCACTTTGTGCATTCTCTCGCTTTTTTCCCTCTTTCTCTCCCTTTCTCGCATGATGTAGCATCAATACATCATTTGAATCAATAGATGAGGTTGTATACCCCATATTTTGCGATGCCAACACGAAATTCGTGAGCCGACTTTTTTTCCTTTCTTCTTGACACCGACAGAAACCTTGTCATTACACTAATTTGAAGATTGATTTCGCGACTTTGAGCCTCATATCAATCATAAAGTGTCCGGCATTTTCGAAAATCCATCTCGAAAAATTGCATACACGTTTCGACGCCAACGAAAATTGCGTACACAGAAAGGTACCGCCAAAAAAAATTTATCGGCAGGGCCGGAATGCATTCCGTTTGGGGTTACCCGTACATGGATGGACGGTCGATGCATTTGCAAAGGTTAAATATACGCGCAAATGCATAATGTGCTGTATAACTGTGCATACGCGCGCACATATACAACAACAACCATCCGAATGGATCAATGTGTTCAAATGGCTATGTAACCACTACGAAACAATATGAAAAAAATCGAAGCAGCAGCAGCAACAACAATATCATCAGTAACAGCAGCGGTAGCAGCATCAACAACAACCAAAAGGGCCAGAACAAAGAACGATATGGAGGGACCGAGCCAGATAGATAGAGAGAGAGAGACAAAAACGCATTTTCGCGTTTATTTAAATTATATTTAAATGATTAATATGTGCAAACGGCTGCGCTATTTCGCGAAAAGTATAGCGCAGTGGTTCGCGCACATGGGAAGGGGGGCACACTCTCGATATGTAATATTATTACGTTTTTATGTGTGTTTAATTGCTTTGGCCACTGCGTTGCATTCGATCGAATGAAACCGCTCCAGTGGTTATCTTTTTCTCCATTTTTTGCTCTCGTTTGGTGGTCGCTTCGTTTTGAGCCTTTTATTGTTGTGGCAGGCATTTTATACATAGGCCTCGAAATGCATTTAATTCTAACGAGGTGACTAAAAAATGCAATCCCTCGTACTGGACTTGCTCACACAAACACACACATTCCTCCGGATATGCTGACTAATTTGGACATTTCCAATAATTTTCGGAGAGGGAGCATTTATGCATTGACCACGGACGCCGTACACTCTCTCGCTCTTTCTCACACGTTTTTTTTCCTGTCGTTATCGAACAACACGAAAAAAATTATTTTCCAAAATGAGGCAGCAGGCGCACTGGAAATATGAAATAAAAAAATTTATAATGCGTAGCATCAAGTATCCATTTTTGAATTTTGGCCACTGGTTCGAGGCTCTTTTATGTTAATTTAAACAAGCAAACCGCACAAACACATACTCTCTCAATTTTTCGGATGGAAATTATTAATGGCAGCGGTTTCGAGTAAATTACTTGCGAACCATTCCCGGTGCATTCAATAGATTTAATCAATTTACATAATTTTATAAATCAATTTATTCAATTTGTTGAATTTAAATGCAGAGTTCATTCGTTTTTCTGTAAAACTATTTTCGATGCAATTTATTTTTCTATTTAATTTCAAACTAATTGAGTGTTTTTTCTCCCTCTATTTAAATTTACAGGAATCTTGAGTTGCACAACAGCCGCACACATTCACACAACTACGCTACAACACACAGATAAGTAGCTTAATTGCAATAAAAAACAACAAACAAAGCATTCATAAAAGAACCGAAAGCAAAACTGGAATTCATTTCCGAACTAATAATAAAGAAAAACAAACACAAACACAATAAAACATAACCTAAAAAAACTAACACAAAACACACAACACACACAAAAAACAAAAAAACTAACACACACAAAACGCTAATTTAAAACAAATAAAAAAAAAACATTCAAAAGAACAATAATCGAAAGTAATTTTAAATAAAGAAAAAAACTTCACCAAAATTTAACGCGCTTTCGACAATTCAACCAAACAAACTAACAAAAAAAATTAGCTCATTTTGGATAAAGTACAAATTTCGTATTAAGTAAACTAATTTATACAGAAGAAAAAATCTTGTATAAATCGTTTAAAACCAATTGTTACACCAAAAAAAAAGGGAATTACACTTTATAAACATCTCATTTGCGTTGATCCAAAAACGAATCCTTCAATTCAATCCCTTGTCAATCGAGTCATTTGATCTGAACAAAGGATATACACTAGACCAACACTTGATTATTTCATAAGTTGTTTGAATTCATTTTTAAATTAATCGATTTAATTGTTTCATATTTAGAGAAAAAAAACAAACACAAATTAGTTGCAATTTTATTGAAGAAATTTTGAATTTTTTTACTTAAATTTTTTACACACAAACACACACACAACACACACACACACACACAAATATATATATATTTATTTATATAGACATATAAAACAATTTATATATACACACACACACTTTACACACAAACACAAAAACACACAAAAAAGAAAAAAAGAAAAACAAACACAAATCAACAAAATTCAATCAAACATTTAAAAACACCAAACACAAACCAATTCGAAAGAAAAAGAAAAAAAAATCGAAAATAAAAACACACACACAACACAAATTTGAAAGGAAAAACATTCAAACACAAAAAAAACCAAAACAAAAAACACAAACACCCACACAACCACATCCACATCCACATACACACAAACAACAGCTAAACAAAAGCCAATAACCAAAACTAAATCACACCAGAAACAGAAACAAAAACAAAAATAAAAAGAAATTTTCCAGACCATAAGACCAAAGAATGTATTTAGACCTCAGCCAAAATCAATATTTCAATCAAGTCGAACCACAGCGTCAAAATTGCAAACCGTTTCAACAATCAAAAAATTCATCCATGTTCAATCAACACGAAATTGGTACACATACACACAACAATATCAAGTCATAAAATCAAGCCAACACCGCCGAATAATCCACACACACACATAACAAACAATTAACACAATACAATCCAAAATTCTTTACACTGACACCGGAACAGACAGTTTAGAATACCATTTACCATACAGCTAGCATTTAATGAAACTTATCTTTAGCATTAGTCAGATAATAATACAGCTACTACTAATAAAAAGTTCTATCGAGTTAAATTTTAGTAAAGAAAAAATACATATAATTGTAATTGATAAGAGTATTAACGTCAATAAAGCTAGGAGTATAGGGTTGCACGAAAGTGATCGAAATCAACAGCGACTACGAAGACGGTTACGACGGCTAAGACAAAAGCACCAGCAACAGCGTGACAACAGCAATAAAAACATTCAAACCAACCAATTCAACCATTGTCATTGTCGAAAAGTCAACGTAAAAGCAAAACCGACACTAACACGCCCAATCAACTCACTAATTATCAAATAATCTGTATAAAAAGAAATTAAATTATATGGGTAGAAAGACACATACGTTACATAGGCTATAGTGAATCGAAAAGAAGACAGGAATTACACACAAACAGTTATTGGGAAATCACGAAAATTGTGTAATTGAATCAATCTTCAATAATTTAAGCACAATTTATTCATAATCTATTCTTATTCTTAATTAATTAAGCGAAAGTATTAAACACACACACACACAGACTCTAGTAGGAGAAATTTTTTTTGGTGGAGCGCAAATCAATTTGCATTGCATCAGAAAAGGTATTGAGTACACCAATTCGACAACATCCACGTGAAGCGATTTATTACACTTCCATTTTTTGTTTTGTCTTTTCATTTCGGATCTTCATTTCATTGTGCCAAATCAAACAAACCCAACTCAACGCAGATTGGACTTTTATTAAATTAAACTTTGCTCCAATTTCAATTGCAATTGGACTGAAGCTAAATTCTTTTCGCTAGAAAACATACGATTCTTTCATTCAACTTTTTAACATCTACTTTGAGTAGATTGAAAGATTGAGATAGAAAAAGTTTTCGTTGAACGAAAGTTTTACGTTTTCAAATTGGTCAGCATTTTAATTGGCTAATTAAATTTGATTGGTAAATTCGAAATTTCCTTAAATAAACCAGCGTCAATTTTTCAAAAAAACACTTCCATTTTCGCCTGTGTCGAAGTTTTTTTTTCTCGGAAAAGCAATTTTCAATCTAATCGTTTTTTTTTTATCAAGAGATAAACAAAAGAGTTTCGAAAAAGGACAACATCAAAACGACAAAATCTTATACAAGAACCAATTCTTGTTTGAACAACATACAACTGTTAAAACCACACACAAAATACGACCGAACGAACGGATCGTGCTTCGCGAAAACAAATATTGAAAAGACTCGAATTCATCCAGAATTCGAACAAATCCGAAAATTCAATTTTTACACCTTTCGATCGGAAAGCAAAAAACGAGCATTATTTTATTTTCTTAATTTTAGAAGAAAATAAACAAGTTTAGGAGAGAAAAAGCTAATCTACAAAAACAAAAGAAAAAATAAAATAAAAATAAACAAAAAAGTGATAACGTCTTGGCCTATACATATTTTGAAACTACATTGTGATCCAGAAGAAACAAACAAAACAACAACAAAAATTTAAACTAAAACAAACAAACAACAACAACAACAAAAAAATTAACTATTTGACATTTATACGAGAAACAAACAAACAAAAAAAAAGATAGTAAATTTTATATTTAAAACAATAATTTAGGTGAACAAAAGAGTTTATAAGGAAATTTGAAACGAAATCAAATATTACGCGAGAGAGAGAGAAAGAAAAAGAACTATAAATTTATATAACGAAAGAGAAGAGGAAAGTGTGAGATAGAGAAACAGAAAGAGAGAGAGAGAGAGAGAGAGAGAGAGAGAGAGAGAGAAGAAAAGGTTTTGTTCCTGTTGAGGCAAATTTTTTAGACAAATTAAAGGAGAAATTATATTTACAGGAAATCGAAACGTTTTTTTCGAAGCCAAAAAACTATATTTAAGCAGATACAAAGCAAAAGAGAAAACCGTTTTTAACAAAAAAAAAAATAAAGAGAGGAAAAAGAGGAGATAGAAAGCGTTTCGTTGTAAATTTTCATTTTTATTGAGCATTGAAATCGAAAGGAGGAGACAGTTTCTTCGTTATACTTCTTCGTTTCATCAAATACACATAGAATTTTTTTTACGTTTTTGTGGCTTTAAAAAAAATCACTTGGCAACAAATTGACTCTTCGAATTGAGCGCACGCTCTTCATCAGAACCAAACCGACAACACCCAGTGAGTTCAGACCAAAATAAAAGAAGTAGACAGGAAGAGAAGCTTATCACAGAAAGAAAGAAAAAAAAAGATAAAAACAATCCAGAAGCGAAGCTTATCAGAGACAGAAAGCGACAGGGACGAAGAGTCAGTTCTGTATCGATTTAAACGGAATAAAAAGAGCACGTTTGTAAAGATAAAACCAAGAAAGAAACACAATATCGTCTATTGAGGTGCCTTATTGTGGCCTTATGCACAACAATTTATACTAAGCATCCAAGCATCATTCGTTTCATACATTAAGAGAAAAAGATACAAAACAAACAAACAACAACAACAACAACAACAACACAAAAGAGAGGATAAAAACAGAACTTATGCTGAACTTGAAGTGAATCAAGTCAAGTTATATTTAGTTATCATGGTTTAAAAATAAACACACGTAAGTTACACTGGTTAAACTCTTGAGTGGATCGAAAAATCGAATCGGAATTGGATTTGAATTTTTCTTCGTTTTTTTTCTGGGAGGAATTCCTCCCGCTTTTAAATCTTCTATTTGGAAGGGCAGCTCTTCCAGATTTTTCTTCAATAAAAATAAACAACTAATCAAATCGAACAAAGCACACGATCTCTCAGAAGAGAGTATTTCACTTGTGTTGGTCCATTGTTTCCGAATTCCCCAAAAAGAAAAAAAAACACCTTCCCCGAATCCTTCCCCCTCCCACATAAATAACACCGTACAATCAATGAACAACAACAACAACAAAAATCAACGTTAAAATGCAAAATTAAACACACTCGGTATAAAAAAAAAGAGAATTTCTCAAACTAAAGTACAAATCGATTTAAAAAAAGAGATATAAAATGTGAAGTTTTCATTAAACCACAAAACAAAACAAAACAAAAATCTTCTTAAAACGGAATATAAAAAAAAGTTGTGCAATTTAAAAGTGTGCTAAACAGATTAAAGTGAAAAGTTTCGAAAACAAAGCAAATTCATTAAATAAATCTACTAAAAAGAAGTCCAAAGCGAAAAATCGCGCGCGCCAATCCATACTCACTCGCACACACACACAACCCCGACAGCCAAAGTGTGAGAGCGACAACAACAGAAACGTGCGCCACCATAAAGAAATAAATAAATTTTCCCTCGAAACAAAAGCGAGAGAGCGAAAAGAAAGTGGTAAATAAAAGGAATATAAAATAATAAGTAAAACGTTGTAGCAGCAGCAACAGCAACAGCAACACGATTGGAACGAGAGAAGAGAGAAAAGTTTGGGTGAATGTTTCCTGGACGAAAATACACCAACGATGACACATCGCCACAGCGAAAACGTCACTGGAGACTATTTAAAACATTTCACAGTAAGTCCATAACATACCAACCGTTCCGCAGTTTTTTTTTTATTTCGTTCGTTCGTTCGTTTGCTTTTTTCTTTTCGTTCGCTTTATGCGAATACAAAAAGTATGAAAAAAAAGAAGAAGAAAACACAAGTCAAAGAAAAAGAGAAAGAGTATTGCATTGAAGTAGAAAAAAATAGAAGAAGAAGAAATACAAAGCTTGTTGGCTCGTTCAAAAGGCGACCGACCACGTGCACATAACATTTTCACAATGAGTGGGATAGCTAAACGAGAACACACACATACACACGATTTACAAGCCAATTTTCGTCATTGACCACTACTGCGCCAAACACACACACATTTTTGTCCCTGTTTTTGGTTTAAGCTTGTTGCGGCTGCATTTTTTTTTCTCTTACCTTTCATCAGCGATAGAAAACCAAGCTTTTTCAAGCCAATATTTTTGTTACGTTTACGAAGAGTGTGTATGACGAAAAGAAAATCACTTTTATAAGTTTGACAAAATTCAGCTTTTTCTTTGGTTCGTTGGCTCGTTCGACTAGCCCCAACACTGTCAACCGCATGCACAAGAATCAACAACATACACCTTTATGTAGAACGTCCAGCCGCTCTCGACTCTTTTTTTTCATTTTGCATAGAAAATTCTATTTGTTTGTCGTGGCTTTTTTTTGCCTCACTTGACATAATCAATGCAGCACACAACGGGGCGAATTTTTTTTTTCAGAAGAACAAATACTTTCATAGACATATAAAAACAGCGAATCATTTCGTTAGAGTCGAACATAAAATATCGATTTATGGCACTCGCCGATTAATTTAATCGCGCGACAAAAGAATTAAACGAAAGAGAATCACGATGGTTTTTTTTACTACATTTTATTGTCCTTAGCGAAATGTTCCTCGGTAGGTACTTCGAAGCGTCTCGAAATCCGAGTAGAGGTGAATTTGCTCATTTTCACCTGAAAATCAGTTGAAATTATTCCAAACTTCGAATACGTTATTAGAAGCCGAGTGAAATGTACTATTTAAATTCATTTTCTTTAGTCAAAACCATTCGAAATGAATAAATTTGATTGAAAAACACAGAATTTTCTGATGTTTTTCATAGAGATTTGATATTTTCCAAGAAAACGAGATCAAATTGAAGTCAAATCTGGTATTATTGGAACGAAAAATTGAAGCAATACCCAGAAATTCCACATAAAATCAACATTTACCGCAAAAATCACATAATTGAGTTGAAATGTGGCCAGGCCATGTGCGTACATCCAGAGTGAATACCTCACAAACTTTTCCTGTTCACAAAATGAACATGAAATCTAACCGAATTTCACCAGACTTGTTTCCTTCTTAAAATCTTTTCCTCAATTTTTTGCCCACTTCAATCCAATTTACGGCCACCGTTCGACAATAAATTCTTCGTTTAATTAGCAAGTGAGCAATAAATATGCGTTGAATTATGCTGTTTATTATTCGATTGTTCATACAATAATTCAAATATTTATCGCAATTATACACAAAACTCTGACGATTCCCAATAATTGCAATAATTACAATAATAATATAATTCAAAAATAAATGTACATAATTGTGGAGCATACGTGGATATTCGATTTCATTCATATGTATGCCAGAACAATCTAACGAGTCGATATATTGTCGAAATTTTTGTTGCAATCTCACCTAAAGCGGAAAAAAGAGTGTAATCAACATTTTGGGCATATAGTGAATGATAAAAGAGAGCGTGTGCCGATGGCTTGTAGCGGCTCGGTTTTACACAAATGCTCTTTCTCTCTCTCTCTCTCTCTCTCTTTCTCTCTCTCTCTCTCTCTCTCTCTCTCTCTCTCTCTCTCTCTGTACACTCACGGTGGTTCGTCTGTAAGCTTCCGGAAAAGTGAACAAAAGCGAGAGAAAATATAAGAAATGAAAATGCACTGTCTATGTGTGTTCATCGGATTTTCCATAATTCTGTCGTTAATCGGAGCGATATATGCCAAGGGTATGGAATTGTCTCAGCCTCAATGTCAGATTGAGGCGAGAGAGCGAAAGAACGAAAGAGCGCTGCTTTGCTGTGCAAATCGATGTCTGTGCGGCTTTAGTACATAAAATATTGAAAACATGAACAGCCAGAGCGAGCGAGAGAGAGAGAGATAGAGCATATCGAAACGACATGTGTGCATAAGAGGAAAGAAAATGAGAAACGGGCCGTATGTGATCGAAATGGACTTGAGATTTTATGGAAAATGCAATCGTTCGGAATATATGAATCTTTATTATCTTTATATAATCTTTTATGCAGACGCTTAGCCAGAAGTGCATGTGTAGCACAGTCAAAGAGTGCCAAAGAAATAGACCAAGTTGTTCGAATGCTTTTCTCGAAGCGTTTAAATGCGTGCAAACGATCATCATCGCCACTGTCGTCGTCGTTTTATTTCCTTTTTTCCTTCTCTCTATCGTTCTGAGTTTTAATAACTATTTTAATTAGAGGCTGGAAATTGGCAAATGACAGGTATAAAATGGAAATTGGTCAATGAACTTTCAATGATGAAAAAAAAACCACCATACAAAAATGGAAAACATACACTTTGGAATGACGGTAGAAAAAACCGACACTTCAAACACAAAAAATTTCCGTGCATTTTTATTCGAAGTGTCAAAGGTAAAAGACATCAAAATCAAACTAAAAAAAATCACATGACAAAAAACGTCGAAAACATTTTTAAATGATTGAATTAATGATTTTAAAAAGCGTTTCATTGATTGACCACCGAAAAAAAGCATTTAAACAAATGGCCGGTTGTCAATTTTCGTAATTGACAGTGGGAATGTGTCAAGAGTGGCATCATATTGCGCGCACGTAAATAACAAAAAAAAACCATAAAATTCAAGCGATTGACCGATCAACAGCGATATAAATTATTCGGATCGTTTGAATGTTGATTTGTAGTCGTGTTCTATATCTGTAGCTCTCTGGTTGTTGTTTCAATAGCGAAAAGGAAAGAAAAAAAAATCGAAGCCAAAAATTGGGGAATAGAATAGAAGCGACGTAACAAACTACTGTTTTCAAGCCTATTCAACGTGTTTTCTTCGCAGTTAGACCACGTCATGCTGGGGAAAAACCAACGGCACTCTTATGCGATCTTGTTGTTTCGAAGACGAACGAGAAGGCGCGTGTTCGTTGAGAAAACATCGCATCTTATGCGCGCATGGTTTGTGTATCGCCCCCGATATAACCCGCGAAATGAAGACAAACCGCTTCTCGCGTCGTCGTCGTCATCGTCGCCATCGTCGAAAGAACCGAAGAAGGAAAAGAGTGATTGCGACGCGCTGCGCGGCGCGGTGATGAACGCGGGTGGAGGTGGAAAGTGGTGGTGAACTAGGATGGAACACAAGCACTGCACACAGCACTTACTCTCTTCGCTTGAACACACGAAAAAGCAGCAAGAGGCGAATGAGCCGTGTGTAGTGTAGCTTTTCCATCTTACGTTCAACCGTCTCCGATGATACTCTCGAATGTTTCTCGCTTCTCCCCCTATGTATAAACAACAACTTGTACAACTTAATGCACATAGAGTATATGTATGCATAGAGAGTGAGTTGCCGACGACGACGGGCGATACGTTAGGAATACGCTGTATATCCCTTATAAAATGACGCACGACGACAGCGACGACGACGGTGTGCTTTAAAAAACCAGTTCCATAGAAAAATATCTTACACTTCTTCTTCTAAACTAAACTATGGAAATAAATTGTAAGGCTTAAGTCGTAGCGTATTCAGTTTGTCTTGAACTTTCGTGGCGAAAAGAAGATGCTACAAATTCTTCGAAGAAATTCACCATTTATTTTCTCTTAGTTTTTGCGTGAACGATTTTCGGTTCCTTGTTTTTGCTCAAAGTGGTTTTTCGGCAAGCAGGTGAACTGATACATCGACTCTGATACACACACTTCAGAGAGTCAACGGGATAATTGTTTTGCGAACGGAAATTTTAATTGGGATCGAGAGTTTTTGTTAAATTCGGCAATAAATTCCATGATTTAAGTATGAATCGAATTAAATTGGTTTTCGTAAAATTTTCCGCATTTTCGTTGTTGATCGTGAATTTTTTTGGTTATTTTTGCCTGAAAATGAGAAAGATTTGGTTTCTTAACAGACCGGATGAAGTTATTGTTTTTTTTTTTTCAAAGTTTTTAAAAGATCAATCACTTGTTTGATGCCAGTGATTTAAGAGAAAAAAATTAAAATATTTTCAAGTGGAGAGACAAAATTGTCCAGAATTCAATACAAAATAGAAATTATGTGTTGTTGAAAATATATCTACAGCAAAGACGCATCGAACGCTCGTTTATCGCGTGTCTATCGGTTAACGTTTGCATGTGAATTTAACAACACCGTTACACTCGAAAATTGTTTACCTACTCTCAATCGTTTGAATTTCTCATCGTTCGGAACACAATTTTTGAGATAGTCTGACTATTGGAAAAAGGCGAATTCACGTCGAAATTATGGATATCAACATCTAAGTCGGATGTTGTCTTGTGCAATTTTATTTTCTAATTTTAATATCAATTTTATGTTTTTTTTTCTTTTTCCAGATATTTGCACTATGTGTGCGTTCCACTGGAAAAAATCTGAAATTTTTCATTTTGTTGTAATTTTTTTATTTATTTTCGTGAATAAAATTAATTTTTTTTATTGTTAATTACTGTTTTGATTTTTATTTCATTTGTTATTGTTTCCTCTGCAACAAAATATTCAATCATGATTGCAGAGTTTCACGTGGTGAATGAAGCACATGTTTGCTTTTCCAAATGTTTCGATCATCAAAATCGGGCGAAATTTTTTTACGTTAGTCAAAAATGTGTATTCTTCGATGAAACACACTGAAGTAAAATATTTAAAAATGGAAATCACATCGAAGACGAACGTAGAAGACCGAGAACGAGCGAGGGAGAGAGAGAAAGCAAGAGCGCCGACTATTGATATGAATAGTATGACATTGCAACGTCAACAACGTCGATTGACTAATTGTGGCTATGCTAAGAACTGTAGCTAGGCTCTCACTCTCTGCTCTGAATGAGTGTACGCGCTCTCTCTCTCTATCTCGGTCTTGCCTGTTCGCTCGCTCACACTCATTCACCCTGTCTATGTGATTGTGTGTCGTCTCTTGACTTCACGATGCGTTCGTAGATGGTGTGTTCACGTTGTTATATGCAGATATTTACGGTCGTTTGCACATTGCACTGCATTTTCGCTTTAATCAATCACCGTGCTGAAGCAGTTTCGTCGCCTTTTGCCGGCAATGCAAATTTCTCTCGCTCTCTGCCTCGTTTTCAATACGCGCGCACCCCGCCAAAAACCCCAGCGTGCCAACACTAAATTATGTTATTAAATCTAGTTCACTTCACCAAACGGCCAAAAATGCTCACCTCAGCAGCGAATAAGGACTTTTGCGCGGAATGCACATCGCCAAGGAAGAGAGAACGGGCGTAATTTTCAACTTTGATTTCGACAATTTTGACATTGTGTCAAATGGATTTTCCATCGAAGAAAATTGTGTGCAGTTCAAAATGACGCACGTGCTCGAATTCGGATTTTTTTTTATCTCGACAAAATCTTCTTCGATCTTTCTTTTTTTTGATGAAACAAATTTGGAACGATTTCATTTTTATTCTAAAAATGAATCGAATGATATTCGAATATTTTCGATGATCTTGAAATGTCTCAAGTCTCTTTTCATATCGAAGATGTTGAATTGTCCATTTCAAAAACATAACGAAATTGTCATTTTATTGACCAAATGAATATTTTTTGATTGATGTCGTTGGAAAAGACCGAGGAAAAGATGAAAAAAAAAATTGAAACACGGATTTGAGCAAAGAAGAGAAAGTTTTTGAATGACAACCGATTTTGAAATCTTGATGAAATCGCCTATTCGAAATAAATGAACCATTTGTCGACCAAACAAACTGTGTGAAAATTCACCTTGAAATAATTTTTTTTCTCACCATTTTTTAATATTTTGATCATATTTTTCCTTTTTATTCATCTTTTATTTTTAATCTGTACAAGATTCGAAATCTGCTTAATGTTCGTTTCAAGAACTTCTAAAAATTTCGGATTTTCATTCATCTCCAATTGTAGTATCAAAATTAAAATGTTCGATTTCTTGATTAGAAATTGCGTTCACAGCTTAAGTCCAGAATTCTGAACAATTTTAGTTCGAACGTTTACTTCCTTTTCTACAAAATGAATCGACGAAACAATTTGAGTTGTGTTTTCTTCTCTGAAAAAGCTTTCGATTTGTGTGAATCCTTGTTAGCGAGGGAAAGTGAATTGAAATTAGTTTACAATTATTTTGCTTAACTTTTGCGGAATTTTTCGTTTGTTCGGAGATCAAATTGAATTGTTGAAAAAAATAAGTTTTGAAAATTAGATAAACCTATCAAAAGACTCGATTTTTTTTTCTTGTTAATCTTCTTCTTTTTTGTCGTCTTCAAATGTCTGTCAATCAACAACAAAAACATTTTAATCCATATCCTCCACCAACTAATTGTTATTTATTTTGTGCGTCGTAGAAGAAACCGGAGGATTCAGTGGTTTACCCAAAATGGGAGCTATCCAATCATAAATAAATCATAAACATCGATAAAAATTCAAATTCGATAATTTACAACCAATTAATAAAAAAAACAAACAAACCAGAAAACTTAAAGAAAAGTGAGTGGTAAAAAGAATAAAGAAGAAAACAAAAATAGAAGCCAAAAAAATTGCGCTGGCCAGAAAAGTATGCCGATGGTTTTAGTTGTAAGCGAAAACTGTTATTAAAACCATACATAAGTTCGGTTTAGTGTTGATTGAAAAAGAAACCGAAAGAAAGTAGAAAATGGTGCTCAAGACTGATAAAGTGCAATAAAAGGACTAAACTCACATCAACGCAAATTCAATATAAAATTGCGAAAAAGAAACGAAGCGAAGAAGAAGCAGGAGAAAAAGAAGCGAAATATAATTAATTTCATCAAACATCGACTTTCCATTGAAATTCGATAGAAAGCAAAGCAAAACAGTTGAAAATAGCTCGAATAAAATAAAAAAACCACAACAACAAAGAGACAGGCATCTAAGAAAATAAAACAAACAAACCAACAACAACAACAACAACAAAATCATCAACCAAACACAACAAAAAAAACCAACAAACCACAATTATCTCATGATACTACTCATAAATTTTTGATTTGAAAGCGGATCGTTATGGTGTGTACAAAGCTCAAAACCAAACAATAGAACTGGAGTTAAATTTAAAACTGTGTTTTTATCATTACAATACGACATACATTTACATTTTCAACACATAAACACTAAATAATATGTTGCAATAGCCACATACAATACAAAATACACGTAACGTTCCGTGCAATAGTCACTAGAATATAAATCACAATAGGACGGCAATTTTAATCATTTTGTTTACAATAAACAGCCCAGTTAATTTTCGTTTTTTGAGATTTTTGTGTGTGAATAAAACAGAAACATATAAACAACAAATAAAACAAAACCAAAAAAAAAATCCATAATTAAACATAAAAAAAAACAAATCATATTAAAATAAAATAAAAAAGAAATAACAACAAGTTATAAGAATCTTCGTCGACCCAAAAATCCAGCGGCGGTTACAAAACGACAACAACAACAACAACAGAGAATAAATCTGATTAATAACAGCATTCCAATGACAACCGATTTTGAGCAGCAGCTAAATAATCAAACGGCTGTTTTCAAAATGGATACGGAATTTTTGCAACAAGCTAGCAAAGCCATTCCGTTGAGTCCATCAACCATATCGTCAAATCATATGTCGTTGCCATCGCAAACCAATACCGATTCGACAACACTTAATAGCCTGGCAAACAATGCAAATTCTTGCGAAAACAATTTGATACATCAGCAACAGCAGATGTGTCAGAATCTGTGGTAAGTGTACGCTCCTTCACCCACCCATTCCTCAACACTTTCTTTAGTGTATGTGCAACTTACAGCACTGTCGTAATTAAATCCACTTTTGGACACTGTTTCGATTAGCTCTTTTCTACACATTTTGGTCTCTCTATCGGTGCATAATTGTACATTAACCAGCTCCTAAATTGAAATTTTGCATTAATCGGTGTCTACCTTGTGTCCCCTTTATTGTGAAAATTAAAATCCACTCAATTCAATTTGTTAATTTTCAGCAATCAACAACAGCAACAATCACAACAATCACACCTTGACGGTGTTCATAGTAGCAATTCTACTCATAACAGGTGAGTAAATTTGCGATGCGATTTCTGTGTGACAATTATGTTTTCAGTTAGAAGATAAGACTTCCCATGCCATAAATATTTTTCAATCGAAACAACGATGAGTCCATTTTCATCATTGGTTTAGTTACCAATCGAGTGAAAAAAGGCTAATAAAGAAAATTTCAAAATTGAAAAGACTTGTGTCACGATGGGTCAATAATTAAGGCATGCTTTTTGTTTAATTCGTAAAATTGTAGAATTTATTTCTCATCCGATCAAAAATAATCGGAATTGATTTCGCAAAATATTTTTTCTGATAATTTCCAATCGATTCCTAAACGGCCCGTATTTGACGGGAATTGAAATTTATTTGTTTAAAACTGATGGTTGATCCGAGTTAAAGTTTGTGTCTTTTTCTAAAACATCCGTGCTGAATTTCCAAAGAAAAAACTCAAAATTGAACTTGAACTCGATTATGACGTTTTCAATTTTAAATTTTTCTTAATTTCCACCATAAAATTTATATTCCGCATGGAATTAGAAAACCATCGAATTTTCCAAAATGTAAATATAGTTTTTTCCCTCTATCATTGCCGCACAGCAACAACAACAATAACAACGATGATGACAAAAACAACAATAATAACAATGCCAATACTGGTCTGAACATGGCAAATGGGTATGATTTGAAAAGGTGAGTCCTAGTGACTCCGTTTCATTCTAATTCAATGTCTCTATCCTTATCCATTCAATCCAAAATGTAATCATTCGTTTCAAGAGGGTATGTGATGCAATTGTCGGTGCACCAAGTGTTTGACCGTGAAAAATGACATTAGCTTTGGAACAGTATCGCGTTTTGGATAAAATGGCACAATGGTGCAATAAATGGCGTATTTTTTTTTTAATAAAAATTATTATTTTATTTGCAATGAACTTCGGTAGTTTATGCCATGGGAATAGCATTGACATTACACTCAGCAACACGGTTCATGAACTGAATGTTTTAACATCTGTATTGAATTCACAAATGCAACTGGTCGTTCAGCAGCAGCAGCAACAGCAACAACAACAGCAGCAGCAGCAACAACAACAACAACAACAACAACAGCAACAGCAGCAGCAACAACAGCAGCAACAGCAACAACAACAACAGCAGCAGCAGCAGCAACAACAACAGGTAAGAGACAACGACGATGATTTGGGATACCAAAATGCCCAAATCTTTAATAATCAACACATTAATTTCGTCATTTCACAATTCTCTCGCACTGATTTCTACCGTTGGTCTTGTCATTCGTCTGTGTATCTACATCGTTTCTCTCTCTCTCTCTCTCTCTCTCTCTCTCAAATTCCATATATTTATTAGCAAAACCAGAACTTGGGCATGCAACAAAACAATCAACGACAGTCTCCAATTGAAGCAGTGCAGCAACAAAATCAAAAGCTTCTCGCTCAACAACCAATGTCTCCATCTGATAAACAGCAACCACAGGTAAACACATCCCGTATTCCATGACATTTTCTATACGTTATATATAATTGTCAGACGTATACATATTATTTGGCCCTGTAAAATCTATTTCGCTTAAGTTTTCCCGTTATTTTACTGCGGCGAAACATCATCATTTCCGGGTTTTGAAACCAGATCTTCATTTTGGAGGCAAACTCTTTGGTTCAAAATTACCAATTTGGTATAATTATAGTTTTGCATTTAGTTTCTACTCATTGACATTTATTTTTTTTCTCTCTCTCTAAAAATAAAAGTTCTACTTGAATGAAATAAAAACATTTTTGATTTGAAATTCAAATAAATTCCATTTTGTTTTCATTTTTTTTCCTTTTCCCACTTGATTTTAGTTCTTATTTAATTAAAAAAAAAGTTTCTTCTTTTTCGATTTTCTTCTTCTGTTGTATCTGTATTTTTCTTGTTGTTTTTCCGTTGCTCATGTTTTCCTCACCGAATTCAACATCAACTGTCAAGCGTTGATTCTAATGTATTTGTCAAAAGCCGTGACAACCATTTATTATTAACGAGACTGGCTTTTTTTTAGTCTGCCAAACAATATATTTGCACAACAAACACAGTGTTCAATAGATCGGGTAACTAAAAGACAATTTTCCTGATAGGTAACTAGGCAAATGTGTTATTTTTATTCCTTCAATTTGGAAAAAAAAAATCCATTGGTTTAAAAATGATCGTTTTGGATTTTTGAAAATTTACGAAACATGTCCCGAAAATTGGATGTGAGAAAGCTAGGGTTAAAAATAAGAGAAGAGTTGAATAAACCTCAAACCGATACAGGCCGGTGTCTGCTGTCGGTTGTTGGCTGTCATCGAATGTCATTCGGTAGTTGTTAAGAATTTTAGAATTTGCCAACGAAATGCTGACATTTTAAACTGATTTAAAGCTTAAGTTAATTATGATTCGTCGATAAAATGATTTTTCTTACATTTGTACTTTTAATCCTGTTGGAGATTCAACATTGGAAAATGAAACTGCGGTTTTTAGCCAAAAAAATGCATTTATTCTAAAGAAAAAAGATTACTCTTGAGTGAAATTTCAAAAGTTTCGATAAAAGAGAAACACGGAGAAAAGTTTCTTAAGCTCAATTCTAATTGAATTTATTTCAAATTTTCTTTAAAAAATGCGTTTCTAATCGAAAGACAAATTCTTATGAAATTTCAATCATCATTTCAAACCCAAAGAAATATTCAGTATTATTAAGAGAAAAAAAATCGGTTGGAATCAAGAATCGTTTTGAATTTCTCTAATTTCGCCTGATTTCACAAACATACACGGCTCAGTAGCAGTTTCTAACCATTTTGCCAACTCCATTTTCTATTTATGAATTTGATGCGGACGTAGAAAAAAAAGCGGCAATAGTTTATTGTTCCCACTGTTGCTGCACCCAGAAATATGACACATCCACCCGTGTTCACCCTTAATAAAAATTGGTTATATGTTGTTGTTTTTTTCCTCTCGCTCTCTGTCTCTTTCACCCTCTCTCACTTTTTCTCTCTCCGTGTGTGTCGATTAATTTCGTGTTGTTTCGTTGTTTCTTTGTCATTGATTTTGGCTATGGTATCAAATAAATAACAAACACACGCATGCACAAATACACGCACCTTTTCGGTAGTGTGTCAAACAAATTTCGTTCGTTCGAGAAAAGAAAAGAGTCAGGAAAAAAAGAACTCTAATTTTCGAATTGGAATTGTTGAATTTTCCGAATGTGTGTGTGTGTGTGTGGTGTCCTTTGGCGTGTCGCTTGCTATTGTATCCTTTCCATATTCCATCGATTATCGTTCGTCGCCCTATAAAAATTGTACGCATTGTTAATGCTAATTATATATGGAAGATCCGTTCCATATCCACTATCCACCATACACGAAAAATAAATAGCCCCGAAAACACTTCTGGTTCTCTGTCTCTCTCTCAATGATAACTACAGCACACATTGTCGAACGGCGAACCATCGAAAAACTTATCAATATTGAATGCAATAGCACAGACAGAAAGACAGTAAAAAGTTCCATTTTTTAAACTCATCGTTTGTACCTTCTGTCTGTAGGATGATGGACGGGCGATAGTTTTTCGTTCTTGTTTTCTCTTTTGCTTTTTCTTCTTCCTTTTATTTTTTAATTCGAGCTCGCTACTGTCACGGCTTGTTTTACATAAGCGTTTTCATGTTTCGGTCTCGGCGCATACAAGTATGCTAGAACAACACCACTATTCCGAACTCAGAATAAATAAGTAAATAAAAATATTGTATTTCGTAATATCAAACTGACTACTTTACTACTTTTTACGGGATGGGATATTAGTTTTTTTTTTTCTGTTACGTACGAACGGGGGCCATTTATACACGATAATGTTTGCTCGCTCGTGTCGTTACAAGTATGGCCCGTTTATATGTAACATATGAAAAGAGAAGCGCGTCGTTAAAACACGACACACATGAGAAAAAAGAATAAAAAGCCGAACGAGAGCAAACGAGCGAGCGCTTGAATGTGAAAGTCGAAAAGAAAGCGAGAGAAAAGAGAGCCTGTAATCACACACATATTATCAGACCAAATTAAGGAAACACATCTTGGAAACAATGTGTACATGCCTCTAAAAGCAAATGTGTAAAATAAAAATAAAAATGAATAAATAAAAAACGAAGACGACGATGTGAAAGGGTGGCATACGAGATAGAGACTGAGCTGTATACAGCCATTTCACCCGAGCCATAGCAGCGGTAGAGGAACCAAAGAGAAAATGATATCAAATAAGTTTGTTAAAAAAAAGAGAAGAAAATACGGCACTTTTTTCCATTATATTTCAAAATTAATATCTATTCCCTCATGTCAGATGGAAATGGTTTTTCTCGAAAAATTGTACACACTCACAACAACCCATATAAAATTTTATATATATTTTTTACATATAAACACGCACACACACACGCACACTGGCTCACACCGAGATACATCAGGAAAGAGTGTAGATAGCCCAATTTAGATACGCTTTGCCATCCCACCCTTTTGCCATGACAAAGTTTTCTACTTCATTTTTATCAATGCGAGTTCTAAAAAGAACCAGAAGAACACGACGACTGCGATGACGACGAAAAAAAATATAACGAACACATTCGTTTCGCGTTTGCTCGCCATGCCACCAAAATGAGCAAGTGAAATGGAGACAAAGAGTTGGAAAAAAAGCAAACGGGCAAAGGAGTCCCGGAGAAAGAAAAAAAAAGGTCAAAGATATGAAGCAGAAAAAAATTGTTGCAGAAATGAAGATGAATTGTGAGCAAGGCAGAGAGAGCAAGCGAGAGAAAGAGATAGAAAATAACGAAATGGGGAGAAAGAAACAAGAAATAAGAAAGATGATGGCAAACGAATCTTTTTCTTTGACTGAAAAAAAACAAATGATTCCATTAAATGAAATTTTTGTTTCTTATCTCTTTGTGGGTGAAAAAGAAACACACACATACACCAATCCAATAACAGAGGACGAAGAAGTGCAGAAAAAAACAGATTGAAGAAGAGACGGAAGAGAGTGGAAAAAAGCCATACACATATAAGACTTGACGTTTTTCATACGGAACGAGCAAATAAAGTATATATATATGTATAAATTTTTATATCTCGCATCAGTGAACATGAATAACAGTCAGAGACAAAATGGAATATTAACCATACGAGAAGAGTGGTTTTGGGCGAAGGCGCTCGTACACACATAGCCGACGAGTGAGTGAGAGAGACAGAGACGCAAAATGCATGTGTTTGTATTTTATGTGTGTGCCGAAGTAAAAGCGAGTTGTTGTTGTTGGTTTTTTTTTCGTATTCAGAGTTCTTTTTAACGAGTACGGCATGCGACACGTTAGCACCAAATGGAACGTTAATTGCCGAGGCATATGAGCAATAGATAACAAAGAACATAACCATCGTTGAGACGAGAGCCCTCGACGAAAAAGAAAATATGCGCGAATGGACGGACACAACCATTTTCTTGTGAGATATATATGGTTTTGCTTGCACAATATGTGTATGCGCAATTTTCCATGATAATAAAGAAGCCACCCATCCCGCTCCTTTGTTTCAGAAAAATCCCGTCCCTTGTCCTAATCATATCAAGTGTGTGTGTTTTTTTCCTAAAGGAAAGAGCATTGGTATGGGACACGTGAGTCCATGCGAGCGTGTGTGACGTAAAGACGCTAAGAAAGAGTGAGGCCAGGCATATATTCATTGCAATTTATTTACCTTTTGAAAAGAAAAATGAAAAGATGAACAACACACACACACAGAGAGAGAGAGAGAGTGAGTGAGATATAAAGCGAACGTTCTGAAGAAGGTACCATCACTATAAAGGAAAACATATGAATATAAATTTCTGTACATATTTTATAAACTGTTGGCAAATCCATTCTATCATTTTTTTCCCTTCTTCATTCTTCGGCTTTTTTGTTCGCCTGTGTCATGTGATATAATACGATATATCTTTCATTTTTATCCAACGTATGGTTCAAAAAGAGCGCGAGCGAGCGTGTGTACGTGGAGACAGAAGATATTCGCATTGTAATCACTTTTCTCTGGCTTCACATGTACTTGTCATAAAAATTGTGAAACGAGAGAGAGAGAGAGAGTGAGTGCTGAAAAGAATAAAACAGACGGGAAATATATATTCATTAATTAGAAGAAAGCAGCTCGATTTTTTTTACCCGCTCTCGTTCAGTGTGCATGTTATTCCATTCCACCTTATATTACATATACGTATGGATTATGCCAATATCAACTGGCTGAGACCAGACCGACGACTGACGTTTATGTTACAAATTGGATGAAATATTTCAATGTTCAATGTGAGGCGCATATTTTTCGATTTTCACTGTTGCCATTGCTGTCGTTGCTGCTGCTTCTTCTGCTGCTTCTGCTACCTACTTTGACTATAGGCGTATTTAAAACGGCGGCGCTAAAACAATAGCATACTTTTACACGTTGCTTCATTAT